CTGCTCTGCCACCTGAATACAACACTAGCCTTTTCAGGTGATTTCCCCATCACACTGTCTCCCTGGGTCACAAGGTCAAACCTGTGTTTTGGAAGTAGCGCTCCAGAGGCTGGGATTATGACAGAAAGGGCCCTCTGTCCCATGGGCCCATCTGCCCAAGGTGATTCATTCCCATGTCACATATTTCTAAACTCTTGTCCTTGCCATCCCCAGAGTTTTCCTAATCCCGTCTGGCCAGTTCCTCCACAAATTCCTCTGCAGCTTTGCCCGATGTTCTCTGGGAACAGTGTACTGGCATCACTGGGAACAGGGCCAAAAGTGAATTGTCACTTCTTCCCATGAGAGAGAGCACAGCTGTTCTCCGCTGGGGATGCCTTGTGGCCGCTTCTGGCACTGATATCCTAACCAACAGACAGATAAGTCTCCAGGGGCCTGGCTCCTGGTCCCCTGGTCCCCTGGTCCCACAGCTCTCCTGCAGAGCATTTCATTTTTCCCTCTTCCCAATCAGTTCTTGCTCTGAAGTCAGCAAGTTCACCAGGATGTCAACTTTGGGGATTTTAAAAATACTGATAAGATTATAAAAAATTGGGCAATTTTTGCTATGCTGGTAAAATCCCACAATACTTCTTGATAAAACTTAAATGTTGGTATATAATTTATAAGAGAAGATGCCATGAACCTGTACTGCAGGCCCTGGGTTCTATGTGACCTACTAAATGTGTATTTTCGTGCCTACCTGGGTGCCCCTGCAGACCTTGCCCTGAGCTGAAGGATTCCCCCCTTCTAGGTACCACCCATTACTTCCCAAGCTCCTGGCTCTTTCCTTCAGACTCCCAGCCCCAAGGATGGTAGGAGAAGAAAGGGGGAGCCTGAGAGCCCCATAAACACCCACACTCCCTTGTGCCCCACTCTCTAGCCCACCTGCTACCCCCCTGCCCTGCATCACTCTTAATCTGTCCTCACCACCTTCTTGGAACCCAGAGCATGTTGTACCCAAAGGTGCAATTTTCCTCCAGGCTCCCTACATATCTTCAACCCCTAAACCTGGCCCTTTACTAAAGTAGCCGGCTTAGGGACCCTGGCTTAGGGACCCAAACATAGATGAGACATTATTGGGCACTTGGAGTTTTAGTGGGAGACCACTGAGCCATCCTGTTAAATAGGCAGGCACCTGGAAGCAAATACTGGCTGCAGTGGAAGCCAGAGCAGGCCATGGTCACCTCTGTTGGGGTGGCCAGGGGCCAGAGGATGTTCCTTCCAGGTCTAAGCGCCATAGAAGAGGTGGTCACCAGATGGTGGTTAATTGAGAGGGTGATGCATGCCAAAGACACCATCTGGATCCCTGTCTCCAGAATTGCCAGTTCCATGCAAGAGCAAGGAGCTGGAGCAGGGACATCCTGCTGGGAGAACAGGGGTGTCCATCATGTCTCAACAGCACTTCCCACTGGCCCCTCTGTGGACGGGTTCCAGGGTGGCTCCACTTCTGTGAACTCCAGATGAACAGGCGGGTCTCTCTCATTACATTGTTTCTGTTGGGAACTCTTGTCTGAGTTCCAGACAGCTGGATTACAGCACTGCCACCCTTGTCCCCAAGAGCCAGCCTGGCTTCTGACTCTGCCTTGGGGGCTGAGGATCTGGCTTTCATGAGACTTTTGGGTTTTTTCTTCCGTTATGTGTGGTTTTCCCCTCAATACCACCCCCTACTTTTCTTATTCTTTTTTGAAGTCCACAGTCTTGGGATTTCCCACTTTGGAGCTATTTAGACAGAAATAGGATGCTGACAGGATCCACCAATAAAGGATTCCTGTCCTAGAGGAAAGCTGGCTGGGTGGCCCTCAGTTCCTATCCTGAGGGCTGGTGGCCAGCAGTATTGAAACTCGGGCAGGAGGAATCTGGGGCTGTGGCCACAGAGCCTGCATCTGGACTGTGTGTCCCTGAGCCATTGCGGGCAGCAGCTGGCCCTGTGGCTGGGCTCTGCCTGCCCTTCCTTTTGTATCTCTTGAGCCTTGGAGCCTGCCGAGGCCGTGGTTTTCTAGGCCTTCACACAGTCTGGCTTTCCAACCATAGCCATGTAACCAGAGCTCCGGACGCCTGGGCTTAAGCAGATTGGACAGTCCCTCTGCTGTCCTTGCCTAGGGGAGGAAGTTGGAGGGAGTGGGGAAATCCTAAGAGGTAATGGTTATGGCTCCCAGAAGAGAATGACCAGCCTTCACCCCCCTGGGCCTGCTGAGTCTGTCCTTTGAGACGGAGCTCCGTTACTGATAAGTACACACCGCCAGTGTTTCATGACAGGCCTGGGCACAGCAGGTGGATAGACCTGAGTCTAGAACTTGGCCCCTGGAGCTTGTGTAAATGTCTTAGCCTTACCAAGCCTCAGTTTTCTCATCTGCACAGATGGGTATCCCCACTAGCTGGTTCGGAAGGCAGGGAGGCTGAGAGGTGCTAGTGTCATGGGTTATTATGAGGACAAAGTGAGATAATGCAAAACTCTAGTGTGCTGGGCCTGGAACCCAATTAGTGCCCCTGCCTGACCTGAGAAGAGAGGGTTGTCCCCTTTCTTCCTAGTCCGAGACCACCTTAATGAGCTCACCATGTAGTGAAAAGAAAGCAGAGGCCTCACCTCACCCCCTGTCGTGGGGCCTCTACTGAAGCTGTGCTTGAACAGGATTGCCCAGCCAGAGCCTCAGGAAGATGTTTTCCATGGGAACGTGAGTGTATAGAAAGGAACTATTCTTCTCGAATTGCTCAAATTGTGAATAAAAACCTCAGTGCCTTTCATCTGTGGAACATGGTGGTTTTTCAAACTTTAATTAATTCCCAAAACACCTTTGTGAGTCTGGCAGCTGATGGCTTACAGGTGAGGAACTGAAAGAGGGGAAGCCACTTGCCCCCAGGCTGAGGGAACGGCCCCAGCGCACACCCTCTTCTTCCTGGAGAGTTGGTGTTTGTGTTCCAGAGGCTGACGTGGAGCCCAGGAACTGGGCTGTGTTTACCTTGACTGACAGGATACAGGGCAGGGAAGGAGGCGTGAAGATCATTCATTAGTTCAGGGACAGTTCATGACAGGCCAGTCACGTTCCCCCTGGAGAGGCATCTCCTGAGTCGTTCCTTGGTATGATGAGGGGTCCCTGGCTGACTTGAGCCCAGAGTAGTTTCTGGCAATGCTGACGTAAAGTCAGGAGAAGCCTGTTCCCTGGCTTCCAGCGGCAACCTCTACAGCTCTTCCTGGCTGCAGCCAACGTACCTTGCTTAAGCACCTGATGTGTGCAGTCCAGATTTACCCTTTGAAATATGTCAGGGGAATCCTAACAGGCTAAGTAACAAAGGCTAAGTAACAAAGTGAGCACCTGTGGGGCCACAAGAAAGAATTGCACGGAGAAGATGTGGGAGATTTTACTCATTTTTGCCTCCTAATGCCCCTGCCCCACCCTAAGCTTGGCCCAAATATTTGGTGCAAGACTCTGTAGCAATATTTGGGAAGTACACAACAGGCCTGGACACTAAAAGCAGTTGGAAGCACTCATATGAGTGTAGGTGCTCTCTCTGTTCCAGGTATGTTTTCCTCTGAGAGTCAGGACTCCTGTGTCCATGCCCTAAGTGAAGAGAGGCAAGGAGGCTCCTACGGCTAGCCTGGTGGGGGTTATAAGGGTCCTGTGCTGTGGCAAAGTAGCAGACAGGACATTTCTTTGTTATTGTTGTTTTGTTTGTTTGTTTTCGGTGCTGACTTGCTGCATCTGCCTTGGGCTAACCTGTGTGGCCCAGCCCCTCTGCATGGTCATGGGGATGACTTTCTGCACTTCAGTTTGGGGAAGCTAATTCGTGCTAATTGCAGAACTCAGAAAAGTTTCCTTCTTCATTGGAGTTTTGCTGCTCTGTTTCCAGAAACCTCTGATGTATAACTTGAGGGTATATAAGGTCATTTGTGGCCAGGAGTGACTTTGCAGGTCACATAGAGCCCCACACTCATAGTGACCCTGAGCTGGAGGTTTAATGCTCTGCAGCTGCAGTCTTGAAATTCTCCTGACTTTATCTTAGGATCTGTGTCTTTTAAGGGAAGTCCAACGGGATGATGAGCTGCACCACAGGCTGACAGCATTGGTTGCTGTGGTCCTGTTTACCGCCATCTCCCACCCTCACTGGGTGGGTCATTGCCCCAGCTATGCTCTCTGCCCCTGGTGGTTCCTGGACACAGAAAATATTAGGGTTAGGTATGGTGGAGCATGGTGGCAGCTGTCACCATCCCAAGCTGGCAGCTGCATAGCCTGTTCAGTGGGCAATCAGAGAGGAACAAACTTCTGCCCTTCCCTGATCCAGGCACCTGGTGCATCCTGGCATGGAGGGTGCACTACCCTTGGCGGTCACCCATCCACCTTGTACCTGGGAAGAACAGACACCTGACTGGACTTCCCTACCCTAATTGGATTGCACCACATTGGCCCAGCAGCTGCCTGGAGAGAAAACCCAACAACTTGTAGGTCCCTGGCTCACTTGCTAGTAGGGTCCCTGTGTACCTGGGGTGGGCTGCAGCCCCCCTGCAGGTGCTCTCATGACACACAATGACATACGTAGCCAACAACAACCACAAAAAAAGCCATGACACACATAATGGAATGAACGTACTTAATGTCACTGCAGTGTACATTGAAAAGTGGTTAAAATGGCACATGTGTTATGCATGCTTTCCCACTACAGAAATGTACTTATAAGGTGCTTTTTTAAAAAAAGGAAAGTCCACCGGGACAGGTGGAGAGAGGTGGCAGGAAGGAAAACATTGATTTGCTACTTAGGGTGCCTGTCCTGGGTGCTTTGTTCCTCCTTTTGGAACAAGGGGTCTCATGTTCTCACTATGCACTGGGTCCCACAAATGAGGTAGCCAGGCCTATCTGTTGAACCCTTTGGAAATCTAGCAAGGCTTGGCCTTTTAAGGGACCCGCCCTCCAGTCCTCTGAGGAAGCTCTGAGCTGAGTAGACACTTACCTGTCTCTGCTTCCCCCCCACAGGTATCGTGTTGGCTGTGTGCCAAGCCCTGGAGAACAGCACGTCCCCCCTGAGCGGTGAGTACAGCCTCCCCAGGATGCAGACAGGGTGTGGCGGGTGGAGCGTGGCCACCGTGGGCCTGTGTCCTCACCATAGGAGCTCCCTTCCTGGGCTCCTGCCCGTGCGTACCTGCCTGTCCCCTCTCTGTGTCCTCTCTTGTCCTCATCTCAGGCAGAGGGACACTCACAGGACAGTCATCACTGCAGGCTGCAGGGGGTCTCTCTTCCCCCGTCTCCCTTTAGCTGTTCTGACAGCCACCACTGCAGGTGGGTGTGCTGGGAAGAGGGCTAGGGGCCCAGGAGCTCAGGACCAGCTCTTGCCCCCATCACATTCCCAAGCCTGTGTCCCCTTCTTCTTACTGTTCTGTGCTGAATAGTTTTCTGGTTTATGTTTTGAAATGTGTAGTAATCATTTCATTTAAAAAAATCTTAGATCAGCATTTTGGAAAGCATGGGAAGTGTAGGAGGCAAACCCCCTCGTGTTCTAAGTCATGTCCTTTGTGCACGTGTGTTCATGGGTTGATGAGTCCCGGTGATTTTGATCCCTCAGGGGTTGGGGTTAGACATTTTTCCATGTTGTGGGAAAGTCCTGAAATCAACCCTTTTAAACTGTTCCAATGTTCCACTAAAATGGGCCTGTGGGGTTTAACGGAGCATCCCCAGTGGATATTCATGGGGTTTCCAGTGTCTTAAATTATGATGCTACACCTCTTCCCACCTAGAAGCTTTTTCTTCTTTTGGATTCTTTCTGAGGCTCTGTCTCTAAGAATAAGAGTACATGCATTTATGACTCTTGGTATTAAGTGCCAAGTGGCTTTCCACGTGAACTGTGCTGATTTTTACCAGCAGTACACCAGTGTGCCAGCCTCACCGTTCCCTTGTTAACGGGGTACGTTTCCCTGACTACTTCCCCATGCTACTGCAGTGTCCCTCTAGTAATTTCAGGGGCCCCCAGTGGGAGGTGATGTTTCTTATGTATTTATAAATTCTCTAACCACCTGCACAGCGTCTCTGGTAACTTGCTCTTCACCTCCTCTAGACCTTTCCATCCAAACCCATTGGAGGTGATACTGCCAACCCCACAGACCCTTTTGGCACTGTTATCTTTGATGCATTGGAACCCTTGGGGTACTCACACCACTCAGTGACCCATGCTGAACCAGAAGGAAATGGCTCTCTTCTGTGTAGTGCTTCATTCAAGATGGAGAAGGAGAAGGAGGTGAATGTGTCCATCCCAAAACTGTGCTTCTGGACTCAAGGGTCTGCCAGAGTTTCCTTGAAGCATTTCTTTGACTTTTAATTACCTCCCTCACCACAAAGGGCTCTAATGAGAGCATATGGGGGAAAGAGATGATAGCTTAGTGATTCCACTGCATGTTCTCAGAATTGCCTCATCCCCCATCCTGGGATACATTTACTCCAAGAGCATCAGCCCCTCCTACAGATTGACCTCTGGTCACCTGCCCAAACACTAGAAAGTACTGATATCACTTACATTTGATAGAACCTCACACTAAGCCACCTAGGGGCTCCTATCAGTTCTGATCTTGCCACTTATTTCAAGGTTTCTGGATGGCCTGAGATGCTTCCTGTGTTTTCCATGCCCTTCCTGAACCCTTCTTGACCTTGAAGGGTTGAAGTGAGGCATAAAGACCTTGAAGTTGGGCCACATGGGTTGGATGGAGGCCTGTGCCCTGGGTCTCCATCCCTGATTCCCCAGCTCTCTCTGCAACCCCTCCTGGTCCTCACTGTAGGACCTCGTAGGCCAAGATCCAGGTTCTAAGTTATTTTCAGGAAACAATAGAATGATGGTAAATGCGGATGTTGCCATCCATGGGGAAGGGTACGCTCCTGGTTGTTACCCCTTCTTCAAGTCTCCATCCATTCATCCAGACAAGAAGAGCCTGAGGAATGTCATCTTTGAGCCTGTTCCTTTAGGGCCTGGCATTGCTTCTACCTAGGCTCTTTGGGCTTTCCTAAGTCCTTCTGGAGACACCTGATACATTGATCCAGAAAAACGACTATCCTCACCAGAATAGTGGCCAACCTCTCTGTTTCACCTTTATTTTCTGGATTTCCTCCCATGAGAATGTCGCTGAGGTTTGTTCTTTCTCATTACGATGTCAGAAAACACCAGCCAAGCTGGTCATGGCTGCACATGCCTGTGTGATAGACTGAGTGCCACTCTGAGTCCTGAGGTGGCAGGTGAGGGCAGAAGCAGGGTGCATTCAACGTTCAGAGAACCCTGAGCCCCAGAGCTGGCCCCTGTGCACAGGGGAGGGGCTGCCTATCTGGCTTCTCGGTCACTGTCTGTTGGATGGGGCACTTAGCCCCAGGACTGGCACCCCCAGTGTCTTAGAGATCAATGACATGGCTCTGTCCACTTCTACTTTCTGTCTTGTACCATGGAACCCAGCCATGAGTCGGGAGGGGGTTGGACCAAGAGACAAATCTAAATGGTGATGACTACATCATTGTCACCCCTCCAAAGGCAGGGTTTGGTAGCTAAATTGGAATTGTTTGCTTTACTTCCTCTTTCTTTGGGCCTGATGGATCTTACTACCCCACCCCATCCCATCCCTTCCCACCCCACTCTGACCTTACTAGACAAGGCTGAAATCCTGTGTGGGTAAAGCTCAAACTGGGGACCAACACCCACCAGCCACACTTAAAACTACCTGGCACTGGAGTGATCATGTGTATGTACATGCATGTGTGTTTAACTCTTGGCTAATTTAAGAAGTGAAGCTCTTAGCATTGTATTGTAGATGTCTTCGTCCACAGAAGAAGATAAGTAGTAGTGAAATCTATCACCATATATTATCACCGCGCTTCCACAACTAGCACCCCTCTGCCATTTTTCTTTTATCTACCTACCTCTGTTTGTTTTCCCCTTTGGAAATTTGGGTATTTTAAAGCAAAGTCCATTTCACTTGTGAACACTTCAATATGTGTCTTGACAGATAAGGACTTTTAAGCACAAAACTGTAGTTTCATTACCATGCCAACAGAAGCAACACTGATTCCTTTCATCAGATCCTTAACATGGAGGATAGATGAGACTGTACTTAGTTTTGTGCTTTTTGACTTTTCATCTGCATTTACTTTGCATCTGTGGATTTGGGTGTCCATAGGGTCAGGGGATGTCTTTTCACTCTGTGGACTAGAATGAGAAGCCATAATGGATGTAAGATAGAGTCTGATACATACTTGACTGACAGCACTGGAGCTAGAGGGCCATAGGAGTACTCAGGGGGAGGCCCAGCCATTAGGGGAGCATTGTAGAGAGAAAATTGCAAGCTCCATGTGCCAGTCAAGGTTGGTAATGGGGCTCTAAGAAACAGGGACTGATCTCATGTATGTTTCTTCTGCATTTTAGGGACGAAAAAAAATCCATGACATTTTTATTTGACAGATGCCCTTGGTCTTTCTCTGTGAGATTTCCTTTCTTCCTGCCTCTTGGGTCCCCAAATATAGAGGGGAAATGATACCAGAGGCATAAAGAACTGGATCATCATCAGCATGTTCTTCTCAGACATTTGCTTTTGTTGGGACAGTGGAAGGCAATGGGGCCTTAGGTTGGAGGCCCAGAACTTAGTGTTTGGGCCCACATGGTTCCAGACTTTTTAGGTCCCTGACCAAGTCATTATTTATCAGGTTGCTGTTTGGATTTGTTTCCTCAACTGTTGGATTTAGGATTGGCTTTTAAGATTCTTCACCTGACACTGATGGATTGGTAGAGAGGACTTGGAGAGCTGGGTTGGGAGGATTTAGGATTGGCTTTTAAGATTCTTCACCTGACACTGATGGATCGGTAGAGAGGACTTGGAGAGCTGGGTTGGGAGGGATTATAAGGCTGCCTTCAGGTTTTCAAGAAGTCCTGAGGTGATCAATTGATGGTACCCACTGAGGACTCAGAGAAGTAGTAATGTGACCACCACATACAGTGGGCCCTCTGTGTCCTGAGGTTCCACATCATCAACCAACCACAGACCAAAAATATCTGGGAAAAAATTGCATCCCTACTGAACATGTACAAGCTTTTTGAATGTTGCTATTCCCTAAACTATTAATAGAGTGTAACAACTATTTACATAGCATTAACATAATAGTAAGCATGATAAGCAATCTAGGGATGATTTTTTAAAGTCTACAGGAGACAGGCGTAGGTTATACGCAAATACTATGCCACTCTATATAAGGGACTTGAGCATCTGTGGGTCTGGGTGTCCACAGGGTCAGGGGATGTGCTAGAACCAATCCTTCAGGGATATCAAGTAGTGACTATTTGATTCTCTTGGAACTGGACGCTGCTGTACATTCACATTTTAACCCTCTAAGGGCTGGAATCATGTGCAAAGAAGCAGACTCTCTCCAGGCGCCCACTCCACAGGTGATCCAAGAACAAGGGAACTTATAACAAGAGCATCTTTATGACATGGGCAGCTTGGCTGACCACTTAGTGTGTGATTTAGAAAATACTTGCTGTGGGAGTTAAACCAATAGTCTGGGGTTTGGGACAGAACATTTTTATCTGGTTGGTTGTCAACTTGCAGAGCATAGAGAGAAACATTAGCTAGAGGCAGCTAAGGGTGGCAGCACCCACAGCTCAGAACACTTGTCACGCCCTCCCAAGGAAGGAGTTACGACCTATCTTCAAAAGGTGCTTTTTAATGCCCCTTAAAAGGGTCAGAATGCACTCTGGTTAAGAAGTTGCTGGGTAGCTGCTTGCTTAACCTTCAGAAATGTTGTCTGGTTCCCAAGCCACCCATCTGGTTTTCATATCTTCATGAGACTCCCTCTGGTGACTGAGGGGGTGTGGTGAGGGCCCTGCTCAGGGCGCTCAGGAGCCAGGCTTCAAGCTTCCCACTGCCATCTGCCTGGCAAGATCTGCTTACATACTCGAGGTGACTTCTGCCCTTTCCTCTAGCCTGTTTCTAATGATGCCCATCTGGAATCGGGGCATGTTTGAGGGCTTGCCTAATTTAGTGTCTGGGAGGCTTTTCAGAGATGATGAT